TAATAGACTATAGTGTTAGTCCCAACGGCCTACGATGAATACTTGGACCAATCTAACGCTCATGAACTCATTTGGTAATATAATTTACTATTTTTTTACAAATCCAAATCACATGACATTTAAGGCATTCATTCTTCTCATCAAGGTGCACCTAATAAAAATATTAAAAAAATAATTTGTAAAATATAAATTGACCAAAATACCCCTAAAAAAATTTAGGGTATTTTGGTCAATTTATTTTTTGCAAATAAATTTTATGATATTTTTATTAGATTCTCGTATTTTTAAAGAATAGAAGCTCAAAATTTCAAATGATTTGGATTTATAAAAAAAAAACTAAAATTCAAATTCGAAATGCAATAGTAACCATTGGATTGGCCCAAATTCAATATGAGCTGTTGGGCAGACACTGTAGCGTTAGCTAGTAGGCTAACCTCAACTTTTCCCATATATACAATGATACCATTTATCTTTATTATAAGGAAGTTACAATTACTCCTACTCATTAGATGTCAATTGGATGGCTTGGGCTAGTCACAAAGTCTGAGAAATGTTTTTTGAACTTTGAATAAAGGGTCTTACAACTACCTAATTTGAAATCCAACGAACAAAAGTGATTGTGACCTCCTTGTAAAATAAATGGTGAGTGTGTGTATATATATATGGAAGATGCTAGGGTGAGCCCACTAGCTCACAGGAAAAATTAAGCCCAATGGCCCAGATTGAATCTGGGTCGTGATCTTAATGTTTAAATTGCAATTTTTTTTTCTACAAATCCAAATCACTTGAAATTTGGAACGTGTGTACATCAAAAATAGGTGAATCTTCGAAAAATATCAAAAAAATATTTTACATAAAATAAATTGACCAAAATACCCCTAAAAAATTTTGGGGGTATTTTGGTCAAAAAAAATTTGTGAATTATTTTTTTTTATATTTTTATTAGGTGCGACTTGATGAAAAGAACACACGCCTAAAATTTCAAGTGATTTGGATTTATAGAAAAAAACTTAAAATTCAAACACTACCAGACATCCGTGTTCGTCAAATCGACGCAAATTCAATCTAGGCCATTGGGCTTATACTATTCCATGAGCTAGTGGGCTCACCTAAGCTTTTTCCTATATATATATATATATATATATATATATTCAAGCCTTCTTAATAAACTACCAAGAGATTTTAAATGAATCATACGCAAGCATTGTCAACCTTTTTTTAGCTTTATTTTATTTTTCTAAGTATCAAGCTCTAGTAACATAATTCAGCATGTGCATGTCACACGGGGAAAGACTATCATCTAAATATCTGTGGGCACCATCAAAAAATGACATAAACCTGTTTCACCACATCACCATTAAGTTTTGCAGAATTGGAAACGGAAAAGTAGTTGATGCGTCAGGGGAAGCATTTCTATATTTGTCTCCCCAAGGACATAAACCATCCATCTAAAGTCATGGTCCCTCCAAGAAAAAAGGTAAAATCAATGGCTCAAATATTTCCTTGTAACAAATATCATTTTTAGTTTTAAATTTTTTTTAACACATTAATGATATCCTTGTTAGGGATTTTATATTCCTTAAAAATCAGGGTCAAAATTTATTTTAAAAATGGATTATTAAGGGGGGCACATTTCTACATATGATTCTGGGTACTCGTAGGAATTCATACGATGAGACCACCTTTTTATCGATATCTAACAAGAACACTAACAAATAATTCATGACATTGGCCACTTATTTGCTACCCAGAAAATCTTTCAGAGGTCGGGCCATTGAGAGAAGTGGAAAATCCATTTCTGTTTTGCGAAGGCCACATGCACTAGTAGCATGGTCACATTTGCATATCATGGCCAATCATGCGATCCAGAAGTTAACTTCAGATTATCAGACTTGCTAGCAAGTATTCTTAATTGTTCTTTTTAAAAACATTATGGGAGTATTTGGTTACAAGGAGTTCCTTTTTGGTCACATTAACAGTTATTTCACCATATGTGCTGAACGTTAATGCAAAATAAGTAAATAAAAACCTTATCCAGGTCGTTTTGTTTGCATGATTCAAAATGAGGTATATCTGTAATTGTCTCGACACCCAGGGAAATAACCAGTGAGTACCTTTTGAGGTATCTCCTTAATTGTCTCGATTCCCAGGCAAATAATCAGTGAGTACCCCATGGGATAATTATAGTTCACAAGATTTTCCCTTTCCTAATAAGTTGTAATGGTAAATCGCCAACTCAGCCATATCTTACAATAGTTTTAATTACACAAAAATGTAAGATTTCACTCATCTAGGATATTTATGTTTCAATTTTCAAAGAAACAGGATATTCTTCCAGGAAAACATCTTGACGAGAAAAGAAAAAAAAACAAAAGGGAGAAGAATACAGAAGGTCAAAAGAGATTACCTGCTCAATAAAATCAATGTAATGAAGGGCCCCATGCTTGAATTGAGTTCCACCCCCAGGGAATGTAAGGTACTCGCCACTAACCTTCACCCAATTCTGGTGCCCCTTAACCACAGCAAGCTTTGTGTGGGGAACGTTTTGATACCAGATCTGCAGCAAAGAAAACACACCTCAGAACATAAGAGAGATACTAAGAGAAGGGAACTATAATCACAATGAAGGAGTTGGGGTTGGGATATAAATTGTGGAAAAGGAGAGTTATATAACACCTTGTCTCTGCTCTGTGGCCACTCAATCGGGCATTTGTATCCCTCAGTCAGAGGAACGAGACAAGTGGGGTTCTCTTTGGGACAGTGCCTCTCGCGGTGCTCATAGTGCTTGGTGCTGCGAAGCTGCCTGATTGCTTCATCATTGTCAAGGCAAGGAATGTAATCAGGACCAGCAGAGACATTGCACAGCTTCCAAGTGTACACTTTGGAGGACGTGGAAGCCTCTTCCTGCACTTGCTTCTCATTCTTGGACTCCACAGCCTGCGTTGACCAAGACCCACCTTGTATGTTGGTTTCATTCAAAATCTCTGATTGTGCACCAGCTGGGAAAGTTTCCAAAGGAACATGCTCTTTGCCTTCCCTGCTCTCCTCTTCCTTACCAGTCTTCTCATCAGTGCTTTGCTGCTGCTGCTCCTGCTCTTGTTGTTGTTGCTGTTGCTCCTGCTCTTGTTGTTGTTGTTGTTGCTGCTGCTGCTGCTGCTGCTCCTGCTCCTGCTCCTGCTGTTGTTGAGTCTCAGCCTCCACCTTTTCCAACTCCTCCTTCTCCTCTGTTTGTGACAACTGTTCTGTACCTTCTTGTTTCGTCTCAGCTTTTGAACCATCATTCGCCACCTCTTCTGACTCAGGGTTAGTCTTCCCACGTCCTTCCTCATTTTCTTCCTTCCCATTCTCATCCTCGCTATGTTGTTTCAATTCACTCTCCTCCTGGCTCTGGCTCTCCTTCTTGCCATCTGTTTCTTTCTCCTCTTCTCTCTCTTTGGTGTCACTTGCTTTCTCAACAGTCTCTTTGTCTTGGGTATTGGTTTCTCTCTCATCCTGAGACTGAGTCGCCCCTGCTCCATCTCCTTGTATCGCATCATCAGGCAAATCACCAGGAGTATCCTCAAAGGTTTGAGTATCACTCGCCGCTACTCGCTGGTCCTTTTCCTGTTCTGTAATCTTGGGTTCAGGGTCTGTCGGAGACAGATTCACTCTTTGTACAGGGCCAACTGCAGAGGAGGTCATCATCCATACCCCAACCAAACACAGGCCCACAAACACCACCAATGTAACAGTAGAGCAGTAGGAAGACGATGACGACCTCCGATCCACCCCACCTCTTGGATTCTTTCCAAGAGCCATCATCTCTCTCTCTCTCTCTCTCTCTCTCTCTCTCTCTCTCTCTACCACGCCAGCTCCACTGGATCGACTTTGCCTCAAATTGATTCAATCTGAACAACGAACAATATCCAAAATCAATCAACAGGCAGTAAACTCTTAAAGCTTTACCCTCTCTCGCTCTGCATTAATCCACAAAGAGAAAAATATTCCCTTTCAAACAAAGATAATAAACATGCATATAAATGAAATAAACTGAACGGAGTAAATCAGAGGTGAGGAACTGACGCAATTGGAGGAGAAACCCCCCAAACCACCTCAATTTACCTCAAGTTTTTCAATCATTCCCATGCTCCACCTTAAACCAGTAGAATTATAAATGGCATTAACATAAATAAAGGCATACAGTGAAAATGCTTAAATTGAAGTGAATCAGTACAGGTAGGGGCCCTTTCCCCCCACTGATTTACCCAAAAACAAACAAAGGTGAATCAGTATAAAGTATAAACACAATGCAGAAAAGGGTATATGCACACTGAGAGGAGACCTCACGAAAAGAAAAAGTAAAAATGGAGACAGAAGCATAAGCTCTAAACCAAAGAGAAGCTCCTTCCAAAAATTACTTGCAGATCTATGACAATGTGTCTCTTGTTAGCAGATCTACAATCCAGAGCTCCAGATCTCATGAAACTAATGTCGCTTCCATCAAATTCATATCAGGGAATTGAACAAGAAAATGAAAAAAAAAAATCAGAGCTTCCTTAGCTTGATGAAGCCATTTAAGAGATGAAGCAAGCTCACATTTACCAGTAGTAATGCAATTATGCAACAATTCAAAAGAAACACAGGCAAATCACTGAACAATAAAAACTCCAAACCTTTGAAAGAGAAAAGCCATAAACATGAAAGAGAATGTGCAGAGAGTCACCTGAAAAAAGAAGGAAAGAAAGAAGAAGATGGATCCCAGATCAGGAGGTCACCCCCAAAGAAAAGAAGAAGATGGATCTTGAATGCATTTTGAAGAGAAAGAGAAAATGAGGTAAAGAAGATTTTAGAGAGAGAAAGATGGAGAAGGATAGCCACAAAGCGGCCGTGGTATTAGCAAGCAGAGAGAGATAGGACACATGACCTTAAAAGACGGAGTAATGTTCAGAGCCGCGCTATGTGATGCTTTTTCTGCGTGTTCATTGCAATGCGCTTAAATAAAGCAATTGTTTTATAATGAGGATCGAAGGTGCAGTGTCGCTATTGTCCGAAGGCCAGTAGTTGATATCACTATTTTTGGACAAAGGGAACTGAAGATGGCATATGTCGGTGATGCGGCCACCGCCAAATGGAACCTCCCCATTCGATCTCTCCTTTTACCACGTAGACTATGCTCCCGAGGGACCATAATTTACTTTTTACTCTGGGTGGCAAGGGGTCGGATGCGTGGATCCGAAGTTATCGGACTTGGACCTGGATCTGACTTGACTCGGATGCAGACTTTGGACCTGACTTATCTTGTCCAATTCTCAATCCCATACACCCAACCCGCCGGGTCCAATTCTCAGACCCAGGACTCGAATCTGGCTCGGGCATCAAGTCTCGGTTGGGTCACAGTCCATTGCCACCCCGATTTACTCCCTTTGGTCAGATCACTCAATTTTTTCAATCTAAAACTTTGGTAACCACCTTATGCTAATTGCGCTATGTCCCTATAGAGTTATCTGGTCCCTTTTTTCATCATAAAAAAGGTAGCTTAGGGTAAAAATAGGGTGCTAATTTGAAATTTTAATTTTTAAGTTACTCATTTGGGTAGCTCCGATGTTAGGTTTTTAGTGCACATCTCCCTCTCTCCCATGCTCTATCTTTTTCGACCATTGTTTTGAAACCTGGCGATTTTTAATCTGGATGATCGGTCCAAATAGGAATAAGTCCCAACCTGATTCCCTCCTAAAGTCCTCCCACTTATAGATGTGGTTTTTTATTATTATTTCTTAAACCTCTTTAATGTTTTTTTAGATCCCCTTAAATACCCGGCCCTTAAAGTTGTATTTTATTTTTATGTATTTTTAATTCTTAAGATCACCGATTCAGATCGATTCAGACTCAATCCATATCACTAAGCTACTGATTCGACATGGATATGTGGGTGAATAAATTGCACCAATCCAAGTTTTAAAAAATTGCTTTCAACTCTTTCATTTTATTAGATTTGTCTTTCCTCTTAAATCTATATTAAATCAACAAGATGATATTATATTAACCTTTTTGGGGAGAAAGATGTCCAAATCTACAAGATGATATTATATTAACATTTTTGGGGGAGATATATGTCCAAAAGCGACATTCTCCCTCTCGTGCCAATAAATAAATGAGAGGGTACCCTTGAGAGATGCTTTAATTTAATGTTGGAACGATCTCATTGAAGAATGAAATGGTGCATACTATTCACATACATGTCAGAACCAGTTTTGAAAAGAGCATAAACTATAAAACATTGGTGCGTGAATGAAAGGTGGCGAATTAAATCCAATTTCTTTAAATTAGGAAATATTATTAATCCCCTAGTAATATGACCATTCTCTCTAATCCCTTTTTTATGGAGCTATGTGTGAATCCTTTAAGTAAATCCTAGTCAACCAAAACTCCAAAAGGTCCATGTTAATTATAAAGAAAGATAAACATTGCTAATTGCTACTATTGTCAACAATAGTAAATAAAGGAAACGCTTTTTATGTGATTCCAAGCACATATAAATCATATATGACCATACTTCTCAGCCATTTGATATAAAACGACCGTTAGAATTGCTTATGTCACAATATCATGCCAAAACACTCTTCGATTTTTATTTTTACATATCCCTTTTGGCTTTAATTTGGGGCCTTCAATCTCCTTACTAGGGCGCACCTAGCAAAAATAAAAATGAATATTTATTGTGAAAAGAAATAACCAAAATGCTCCTTAAAGATTTAGAGGTAGTTTAATAAGTTTTCATCATAGGATTTTTTTTCCATGTGCGTCCCTTTCACATGTATACATGCCCCAAATTTCGTTGCAAAATAATTTATAAATAAAGATTAAAAATAAAACACTATGAGCCATTGGATCAACATCTGATGATCAATAGCCAACTTATGGCATTGTGACTCAAGTCATCTCATCCATCTACTAAGGCCTGATTGCTAAGAAAGAGAACCAAATATACGATATATGTGGGTGGGGTCCTATGGAAAGCTTTGCCATGAATAAAATTCTCTTCTAGTCCCTCTATACGATGGACAAAAAATAACCAATTATGTTAAAGCAATTGCAACAAGTATCTAAAATTCAAGTTTAAAAAAAGGAAAACATCTCCAGCCCTATTTTTAGGTTTAATTTATTGATAAACTCAATATTTCAAAAGATATCTTCTAACCCCCTAGCTATTTTAAACCTATTTTTTAACCTAAACAAATGTGAGATAGACATGCTCTTTCTAAATCCAATCCTTTCTCTCTCTTCACTTCTATATCCCAAACTTATTTTTTCCTCTCTCTTCATGCATCTCTCACTTTTTCTCTCCTCCTATATTTTTCTAAACATCTCTCTCTCCTCCCAATATCCTCTCACCTCTATGAAGTCATCCTTTCTCTCTATAAGTTTGGGAGGATGGATTTTAAAAAAAGCATGTCTTTTTATATTTGTTTAGCCTAAAAAAACAGGTTTAAATTAGCTCAAGGGGTTAGAAGAAATAAAATTTACAATTTTTATGCCCAAAATATCTTTTAAAACCTTGGGTTTATTGTAAAATGAAACTTAAAAATATGAGGTATGGAGATATTCTATGAACAAGCCATCCCCTACATACGCACATGCATTACCTATGAGTGAATTAATTACAATAAGTTCGTAAAATTTAAGTTTAAGAAAAAAGCAAACTTCCTATGCTTCCCCTACAACATAAAACTTATATGCTTCCCCTTATCCAACCGTCCATTCAGAATGGAGGACTAAAATTGCCCTAATCACAATATTACGTCCATACACTATTTTATTTTTAATTTTTTTTAGATAAAATATTTTGATGCCAACTTTCCCCCCCATTCTTCTATTAAACTCGCACTTTAAAAAAGTTAATGAAAATTATTCCCAATAAATAAAATGATCAAAATTATCCTAAAAGCTTCAAAGGGTATTTTGATCATTTTATTTTATCAAAAAATTATTTTTAATATTTTTTATAGGTGCGCCCCAATGAGAAGATGGTACGTACCAAATTTCATATTCATACAATATGTATTAAAAAAAATTTAAAAATAAAATAATCTGAGACATGGGATCTAGGATCAAACAGTGAGTGGCTCACTCGATTAAAACTGGACGGCTAGATGGGAGGGGAAGCATAAATCTTCAATGTTGTAGGGGAAGTATGGAAACCTTTTCCTAGATTAAAATTGAACAGCCAAATGGGAGAGGAAGCATAATCTTCTATGTTGTAGGGGAAGTATAGAAACCTTTCCCTAAAAAAAAATATGAATGAGCCATCCCCTACACACACTACTTAGGAATGAATTTCTACTGCACTTCATTTATGGCTCATCACCATCCAAAGTTTATTTAACAATCATGATTAATGAATAGTGTTTGAATTTTAATATAGTTTTAAAAATCCGATTTATCTAAATTTGGGATGCATGTGCATTTAACCAAATAACACAAAATAAAATAAAAAATAAGATGATAAAAATTACATTGAAATATTTATAGGGGTAATTTGATCATTTTTATGGTTTGAATTACTTTTATATGCGCCTCGTTGAGATGCACGCACCCACAAAATTTGAGGTTAATATGATTTATAAAAAATTATTAAAATTCAAATATGAATGGGATAGTGGGGAGTACAAAACGCTCGTTGAGATGCACGCACCCACAAAATTTGAGGTTAATATGATTTAACAAAAATTATTAAAATTCAAATATGAATGGCATAGTGGGGAATATCAAGCACTGTTTTATTTTGGCAGAAGGCTACTTTGGTTAAGAGATAGGGACTGTAGAAGAATTTATTTATGGCAAAAGGAGGTAAGAATCAACCTTAACCGTTAGATGACAAATGGGGCAACTAAGGTAGTCCCATTTCCAACGCATTATCTTGCAAACTTTGGGATACATCCACGTTGTATATCTCAGCCATGAGCGATGTTAGTATATTTTGGGGAACGATCACATGGTTTACGGGGAATTTTGAACCGTCAATCATGCTAAAGTAAAAATAACTCAACACCAATTATGTGGGGCATAGAGGTTTCTCGAGTCATACACTATCACATGGTTTACGGGGAATTTTGGACCGTCAATCATGCTAAGTAAAAATATCTCAATACCGATTATGTCGGGCCCCATAGAGGCTTCTCGAGTCATACAACTTATACTATTATGTCCATACTTTTTCTTTGTTAATTCTCTTGTTTCTCTCTCTTCCCCATCTTCAAATAAACCCTTGTCACTCTTTCTTTCGTTTTTTCTTTTATTTATTTATTTATTTTATTTTTATGTGTTTGAGAAAAGGTGACCATTATTAAACAACACGTTTGGTTCATATCAAAATGATTTTTTAGAAATGATTTTTTCAGAAAATAACTAATTTCTCACGTTTGGTTCGTCACAATAGAAAGAACTCGTTTTTACCTATGAAAATAATTTTCCCAAAATCTAAGAAAATGGAACCATACCTATGTAAGTATGATCGCAGATTATTTTAAAACAAGCAGGGGTAGGGGTGTAAATAAGGCTGCTAACGGGGCGGCTGGCCCGAGGCTCGGCAAAGCCCGAAACTACTTTGGCCCACCCCGTCCCCGAATACATACTATCAAAGCCTGATCGCGCCCAAACCAACCAAAAAAGAATATATTGGGCCTAGGCATGGTATGGCCCATTAAGGAGTCTCCCCTTTTTATTTATTTTTTTATTTCTCTTCAAACTTTTTTGTTTGAAGTACGCTAAAAATATCTTTTAGAATAATTTTTAAAATATTGGGTTTCTAGAGAGAGAAAGAGATATTGATTTTTTAGAGAGAGAAATATTGGGATTTTAGATAGAGAAATAGATATTAGTTTATAGAAAGAGAATATATTGGGTTTTTAGAGAGAGAACGAGATGGATTTTTAGAGAGAGAAATATAATTTGGATTTCTATAGAGAGAAATAGAACTTGGATTTCTAGCGAGAAAAAGAGATATTGGGTTTCTAGAGAGAGTGATGGTTTTTTGATAAAGAAAGAGATT